TTTATAATTATTACAATTTTAAAAATATTAATTAGTAATCTATATTTAGTGTTGCCATTATTATATTTATAACCATAAATAAACATATAAAAATATAGTATTAATTATTAAAGCCATATAATTGTTCTATGTGTAATTTAAAAAGTTAAAATTTATTACGGATAATCATTTAAATTTAGTTTGCTATTATTTAAAAAACAACTTACTAAGCAACACTATTAATATATACTTTTACAAATGAAAAATATTAATCTGATAAGCTGTCATTTTGATCTACACAGTATGAACTTACTACATCTGCCTGTCTGTTATGTTTATACTTATTATTTGATTTTATTATATTAATAACAGGATCCCATGACGATGGTAGTACCCAGCCATCTTCCCTATTGAAATTTGGATGTTTTTTAATTTCTATGGCTTCTCGAATCATTCTAGGGCGATATCGGTTTTCTTTCGCCAGGATTTGAGGTCTATCGAAACGAATATAATGGCTTGGGCGGTCCTGGCTATGTTTGCAGACAGCAGATGTTGTATTGCGACGGTGCTTCACATCAGCTATGTGTTCTTTGACCCGGGTTCTAATGGATCGCTTTGTTTGTCCAATGTAAGAGAGCCCACAATCACAATCAAGCTTGTAGACTCCTGCATCTTGTAGAGGGATGTGGCACTTGACAGGTGGTAAGAACTGACTAATTTTCTTTGGCGGCTTGAAGTAAGTTTTAATTGAAGCTCGCTTTAGAATGTAGCCAATCTTGTCAGTGACTCCTTTCATGTATGGCAAGACTGCAGGGACGCGCTCGACTGTGGCTGGTTTCACTCGGTCACTGTGACGCAGGCGCGGCACTTGCAGCTTGTTGTCACGCAGAACTTGCTTGACATGTTGCAGTTCTCCGGCCAGGTGTTGCTCGTCACAGATCCCGCGCGCTCTCTGAAACAGAGATTTTCCCACGGTAGCTAACTGTGAAGGATGGTGGTGAGATTCACCGTTCAGGTACCTATCAGTATGGGTCTTCTTTCTATACACAGTATGGCTCAAGGTGTTATCTGGGTTACGTTTAACTAATACATCTAGGAAAGCTAAGGTTTTGTCCGATTCTAATTCCATTGTAAATTGAATTTTAGGATTTATAGAATTAAGGTGTTCTAAGAATACAGTTATTTTATCAGATGGTAATATTGTAAAAGTGTCATCTACATACCGCTTGTAGAAACGAGGGGTCACGGGTGATGTGTTCAGAGCAGTCTCCTCGAAGTCCTCCATGAAGATGTCGGCTACGACGGGGGAGACTGGCGAACCCATGGCCACTCCATCCACTTGCCTGTAGAATTCACCATTCCACAGTAGATAGCCGGATGTTAGGCAGTGTTTTAAAAGTTCAATGTATTCTATTGACATGTTGTGATCTAGTAGCTTCCTAGATATTATTTCAATACAGTCTTCCACTGGTAGGCTGGTAAATAAAGACTGTACATCGAAACTAACCATTGTTTCATTGTCCATGAGTTTTAGGTGTTTAACTTCATTGACAAAATGGTAAGAGTCCTTTGTGAACGCTCTTGTTAATCCTCTGAGTGGTGAGAGTACTTTTGCTACTAGTTTAGCCAATTTGTAAGTCGGTGAGTCGATTTGACTCACAATTGGACGTAGCGGAGCGTTAGTCTTGTGTATTTTCGGAAGTCCATACAACTTAGGTGGTTTTGCACATGATGGAATAAGATTTTTAACATCAAGATTTAATGTGTCGGAGTGTTCCTTAATTAGCTTTTTAGTATTATTTAAAACGGTGGTAGTTGGATCCGTTTTAACCTTTTTGTACGTGCTCTCGTCCGACAAAAGTTGTTTTATTTTATCATTATAATCTGATGTATCCATCACAACGGTTGCATTTCCTTTGTCTGCGCGTTAGAACGGTGATGTCTGACCTATTGCGTAGGTTCTTCAACGCTAAATACTCTTGTTTATTGAGATTTGGTTTGGGCCTAGTACTACGACGTAATAAAGACGAAACATCTTGACGTATGGCCTCCATATCCTCAGTTTTCATAATATTTTGGGCCAGGGCATCTTCAACTGCGCAAATAATGTTTTCATAAGGAATGCGCGTAGGCGTTACAGCAAAATTCAAACCTTTATTTAGTACCCGAATGGTAGGTTCGTCTAACGTTTGTTTTGACAGATTGAAAACCTGAGGTCCGCACGAGTGTGTATCTGTGGTAGACGGGCGCGTTCCGTTATACTCTATGGTTTTCTTTTTCTTTTTGATGTTTAATTTTTCAACGAGTTTTTGATATTTTAAAATATGTTTAATTTTGCACTGATTATATTTGGTTGTTTCACGCTTATTTAAAGTGTCAATGCAATCGTTGAAATACGCGCGTTTTGTACTTCTTCAGTCTTATCTCCATTATTCGCAGTTTTTCTCTCAGCAAAACGTTCTCTAATTTTAAACGTCTTTTGTTCTTTTCTCCTATCCTCCTACCAGACTCTGCTCTTCATCTAGAACTAGAAGATGTAGGGCTATCTGGAAGAGTGTCATTTTCAACAAAATCCTCAGTACCTGATACCTTATATTGCAGGTCAAACAACAGGTTACTTATTTTTATTCCGGAAAAATGAACGGTTCCCGTGGGATAGATCTGTTTGTGCTTTTCTAGAGGTGAACCCGAGCAAAGCGAGGGTGAGCCGCTAGTATTTTAGTATATAAAAAACGGATAGTTTTCAGATCAGTGCCACCAATCACCTACTAACTAAAACAAAAATAGCTCAAAGAATTCGGTTCATATTATAGCTCCAGTCCAATGACAGTAACAACGAAATATATATTATACTTTTGTAAAAAAAAAGTTATACATATACGGATTAAATAAATAGTAATTTTATATGAGTCAAAATTAGTTTGTGACTTGAGGAATTCTCTTTAACACTAAAGTAGCTTTTTGTAAACCAAATATCTCCTGATTTACTGTAAATATTTTTAAAATATATCAATACTAGTCCAATCTTTCCAATAGAAAATATAACTTTCTACTTTCATTTCATTTCCATAAAAAGTCTTTACTATTTGTTTCGGACGACCAGAACCAGGGTATGTCTAGTACCCTGAGGTCGACCTGGGACAATCTCCCAGACGTTCTTGGCGTACACGGCAGTATGTCCGTTCGCTGGTAATGTACGCCACCACGCACCCCTGAATGCGTAGCTTGGGTCCCGATCCACTAGGGTTTCTTCGTTGACAGGAGACTATACTTAGAGGCGATGAAATAAAAACACAATTTTTCCTTTTTTCTCTCTTGGTTTCGGTTCTTCCTTTTCCTTTTAGTTGTTGCCTCTTCGGTGGCTGTCTTGCGACTGACTCGAATCGAGAAATGGCTCGCCTTTTATTTGGCCCGTTAATACCTTACAGAGAGCCGCGTACTTTGAGCTCATTTTTCGAGTAAAATTTCCCTAAACCGAAACCTTGAGAGTCCTTTTATTTTATGTTTTCAGTAAAACACCTTACACATATTTATTTATTTACATGCCTTACACACTATTATACAATATTAAAACATAATATTCAATATATAATAATTAATTAAAAAAGTCTTAAAACAAAATATCTAAATTTCTAGGTTGCTACATTTTTACTATACATTTTCCCTTATAACTTTTGAACGGATAGTCCTATCGACCTAATTCTTGTTTTATTATAAGTTTTATAATAAAATCTATTATTTAAAACATAAACTATTATGCTATTGCAAGAAACAAAAAATCTCATTTTCAAGTTACGTAATTATATGCTAACATTTTACTTACGTACCTATTCCTTTCAAATTAATGTTAAATAGTCTTATATGATTCAAATAAGCAAAAAATACTCTAAACTAACCTTATTACACTAATTAGAACTTATTTTAACATAATAAATCTAATAAGAATGAGATTTCATATTTACAACAATTATTCATAATACGCTAAAATGACATTGTCCCTATATTAATACACACGTTACTCGAAGATAGGTTTTCCGTCGCCGACAGGAAGCATATCTTAGTGTTGTGCTTAATAAATGGTCAATATAAATAAAAACTTGAAAAAATAAATGAAAACCGTCTCCAGGCACTAAAATGTAAAAAATAACTAAACGGGGGTTTTCATTTAGAATAGATACTTATCCTATCCTGTCGGTGCCTAAGTCGTTCCCAGGGTCTCAAACTATCTTCTTACCAAATTTTATCTAAATCGGTTTAGTAGATCCAGAGATATATGTATGATTTTTATAGTAAGGCGTGTATTTGGGTCATTCTACTTTTGGAGAGAAAAAAAAATAAAAAAAAATCTTGAATTTTACGGTTTTTCACTTTTATTTTATTTAATATCACAAATAATCACAATAAAAATTAGAAGTAGAGGTCGTGTTCTATTAATTTTTGAATAAAACGATTGATTTTGAAAAATGGTGATAACAGAGTTGAAGCAGCACATCACAGTTATGACGATTTTCTAATAAAATAGCACTTAAAGATATTGAAGAAGATTCACTACAGGGTATATTAGAAAAACAGCCCCCACGTTAACCAAAAACAAAATAATCATCGACAAAATTAATAACAATAGGTAAAAAAAAATATATCAAAGATGTGATCACATAAATGACGTCCTGTCTGTTATCATCTAGCAACATTTAGATACGATATAATAGCTCAAAATTCTATAATTACAAAATAGTTTAAAACATAACAAAGGACTTGTTATGCATTAATTTATATATTTTTCTTAAATATTATAAAGTTTAAATTAATTGAGATCAATTTTAACGCAATAAATAATTTAAGCTTTCAACGCAATAAACAATTTAATCTTAAAGTATCGGTCAGGAGGTCGCAAAACGGCGATGCAACCTAGTCGAAAATTCAGGCTAATCAAACGCAAAAATACCTCTCATTAAAGAGTTCTTTTTTGTTACGTAACAAGTAAAGCAAAAATTTAAAAAAGAAGATTAACCAGGAAGTTAAAAAATGTTTTCTTCTGAAGAGCTCGATGATTGTAACATGAGACACTTTCTTGGCTTTCGTACTTCCGATTCAAATTCAGAAGTAAATATTCGATCTATATATTTTTTTTCTCTGAGAGTATTTCTGTGAGAAGATCCAGGCTGTTCAAAAAAACGTGAATCATTACACTCAGAATCATCAAAAAGTGTCGAGCATTTTCTTTCTTTAAGAATAGACGAGCTAGCCATTAGGAAAGGATTGGGTTCCTGTAGAATACGTCGAACTGAGTGAGAATTATCAAATCGTATTAAAGATTCGGTACAAGGAGGAGAACTGCTTTCTGATGCGCGAGCTTTCTTATATGTTTTTTTGTCTGAAGTATCTAATGTATGATCACTATGTGACGAGGAAGGAAGAACTTCACCTTCATCGAAGCTGTCACAAATGGCTTCTGTATTGATTATACCTATTTCATAATGTGGACAGATTTGATGTGGATGACATTCAGTGCAACTTAATTTTCGAGCATTAAGAAGACCCGGGCTATTTTTGTTCCAAGCTACTTGGTGTATGGTGAATGTACCTTTAAACGTTTGCGTCAAACTTCTTGACAGCAAATGTTCAATGGTCGCAACATTGTCATCATCTACAGGTAAAATTTGTACACCCTTGCAGTTTTTTATCAAACATTGAACCAATTGTTGAAAATTAGCCACGTCATAACCTTTGGCTACCGATTGATCTGCTGTCCGTTTTATGGTTGCGCCAATTCTATCAGGTGATCCTTTGCCGCGTCCAGTTTCATTGTAATGCCACACTAGATTTTGCACGTCTAAATTTACAGCAAGGAAATTAGCCATCAAGAAAAACATTGATTTATTTCGATATTGCGAAGATGGTCCGTCACTAACAAAATGCATGATCTTTATGGTAGAACATAAACCTTCGATTATTTTAATAACTGGTAGTAAATGATTGCAAATCAATACTGGGTCATGCTGAGATTTTCAGAAATTGTGCAAAATGGAGTTATGATAGAGTCAGATTCCACGAAATGTACAACGCTGTTACAACGCGTTTTGTACTTAATACTTTCTTAGATTTACGCGAATGTTTGTTTGGGCAACAAGGAAAACTTCAAATATCTTCCAACAAATCAGTTTATTACGTTTACAATTATAGTATATAAGATAACGTGCGCGTGCGCCGGCTCGTATCGTCTCGTAAGAGAGGTTAAAAGCAATGACGGCTGCCGAGGGTCCTCCCTGCCCCCCGCGGATCGATCTATCGCCCCACCTGAGCGTTAGACGCGTGAACATCCTCCCCCGTTGGAGATGGAGTCTTCAACTCTTCTTCATCCTCAGGAAGCCAAAGAGGACAGAGTCGAGTCAATGCACGGCGAACCACTCCATTACCAGTGGCCACGTCGGCAACCCGAGACACACCATCAGTGCCAGGGAATAGTGCGTGTACTCGTCCAATACGCCATTTCAGTGGTGGCAGGTTGTCTTCCTTGAGAACCACCATATCTCCTATTTTCAATGCAGGATGTCGCTGACGCCATTTTGTGCGTTGTTGTAATTCAGCAATGTATTCACTACTCCAGCGCTCCCAAAAATGTTGCTTTAATTGGGATAGTTGTGCATATCTATCCAGCCGACTAATCTTAATATCGGTTAGCTTCTCTGACGGTACTGCAGTTAATGGCCTCCCAATCAAGAAATGCCCTGGAGTAAGCGGGCTCAAATCTGACGGATCTGAAGATAACGGGCACAGCGGGCGCGAATTAAGAATGGCCTCTATTTGTGCGAAAAGTGTCGCCAATTCTTCATATGTAAGATGCCTTTCTCCCATTATTCTTTTTAAGTGAAATTTTGATGACTTTACGCCTGCCTCCCACAAACCCCCGAAATGCGGTGCATAGGGTGGCGAAAAGTGAAATGATATACCTTCATCAGAACTAAACTGCATTAAAGAGTTTTGGTTATAAAAAAGAAACTTATCTAATTCATTCTTAGCTCCCACAAAATTACTTCCGTTATCACAGAAAATATAACGGGGTTTACCTCTCCTCGATATAAATCTTTTTAAAGTTAATATAAAGGCTGCTGTACTTAAATCACTAACAGCTTCTAAGTGAAGGGCCTTGGTTGTAAAACATACGAAAATACATAAATAACACTTGCTTATTTTACAACCACGGCCTTTCCTATCTGCTATATAGAAAGGGCCTGCGAAATCAACGCCTGTTGACTCAAACGGTATACCCGGAGTTAGACGTTGTTTTGGCAGATTACCCATAATCGATTCTAAAGTTTTACTACCTATACGTCTACAAATAATACATTTATGTGGAATACTTCTAGCAAGATTCCTACCATTAATAATCCAATAGTTTTCTCTAACTGAAGCTAATAAGAGTTGAGGACCCGCGTGCAAAAGGCGTTTATGTTCTTCTTGAAATATAAGAATGGACAAACGATGTTTTGAATCTAAAAGTATAGGGTGTTTTTTATTATAATTAAATTTTGAATTTTGAATTCTACCACCAACTCTTAATACTCCATCGTCATCAATAAACGGGTTTAATGACAATATATTTGATCTTTTTGGTAACGATTTATTATTTTTAAGTACTTGAATTTCAGAATAAAACGATTCTAATTGAGCCATTTTTACTAAAGCAATTATACTACTAGTCAGTTCTTCAACAGTTAATATAAGTGAATTTTGCCTACTATTCGACTTTTTACAATTATTTATAAATCTAAGAACATATCCAAATACACGCTTTAATTTACCTAATGTTGAATATCTAGAAAAGTTAATAATTTCATTTTTTGGCAAACAGTGCAATACATTACAATTTACATTACTACTATCATTACAAAACATATGATGAGGATATTTTTCATTTGGCCACTCAGACTCGTGCTGAGACAAAAACGTAGGGCCTCCCCACCAGAAGCTAGCCAGCTTATCATCAAAGGAATCTACACCTCGCGATACTAGGTCTGCCGGATTGTCCCTTGTTGGCACATACTTCCATTCACTATTTAGTGATAATTCTTTTATTTTATTTACCCTATTTACAATAAAAACGTTTAATTTTTGAGTGGAGGCAGTACGTAGCCATCCAAGGACAACCATGGAGTCAGTCCAATGAATACAGCGCAACAATTGACACCGTAGTGCCTTTCTTATTTTTGCACTCATCTCAGCCGACAGTAACGCCCCACACAATTCCAATCGTGGTATTGTGAGGGTTTTTAAGGGTGATACTCGAGATTTAGCACATAACAATTTTACATGAATCTGTCCCTTACTATCTACTGAGCGTACATAAGCACATGCACCATAAGCTGACTGAGATGCGTCCGAAAATAAGTGTAATTCGACTGACACCACATTTCTACATAATACATGCCTGGGTACGTTAACACACGAGAGCGAATTAACAGTTTTTGTAAACTGTTCCCACATTTTTTTAATTTCTCCGGTAATTATTTCATCCCAATTTAATTTACATTTCCATATAGCTTGTAATATAATTTTTGCCTTTACTATAAATATACTTAAAAGACCCAATGGATCGAATATTTTAGCTATCATAGATAAAATAAGCCGTTTTGTAACATTTTCACTGATTTTAAAATGTATAGGAAAGATGAAAACATCTGACGTAGGTGACCACATAAGCCCTAAAGTGCCGGTACTGTTTTTTATATCAGATAAATTTTTATTATTTACCAAGCTATTTTCACTAATTAATTTATTTGTATTTGAACGAAATTTTCTAAGCTCGAAACCGGCTTCATTTAATTTTTTAGTAATTATTTTACATATGTATTGCAATTCATGTTCACTTTCACTACCAGTTAAAATGTCATCTATATAAAAATCATGCTTAATTATCTCCGCTATACATTTATTATCACATTCATCGGCTAATTGAAATAAACAGCGAGTGCTTAAAAAAGGTGCCGATGCGGTCCCATACGTCACTGTATTTAATTCATAATGCATCAACGGTTCGTTTTCATTTTCCCTCCATAATATCATTTGCCACTGCCTATCATCTTCATGTACCATAATCTGCCTATACATTTTAGCTATATCCCCCGTAAAAACAAAACTATGCTGTCTAAATCTAATTAAAATACTAAATAAATCGTCTTGTATAACATTACCTATACCTTGTATATCATTTAACGACCGCCCGGTACTAGTTTTCGCGGACGCGTCAAATACAACACGAAGCTTTGTCGTCTCGCTCCTTTCCCGTAACACCGGGTGATGCGGTAAATAATATCCAAGGTCACTCCTATTCGATAAAGATAGATGCCCTAATTCCATATATTCACGAATAAATTCTACATAAAGTTTCCTTATATGTGGTTGCCTTTTAAACCTCTTTTCTAAATTATAAAACCGTTGCTTAGCAATATGCAAAGAATCTCCTAATGTTTTAGGTGAAGTGTGAAAAGGTATTTTGACACAAAACCTACCGTTTTGCAATCTACGTGTATTTTCTACAAAATGAGTTTCACAAAAATCTTCATCATAACTACTCTTTAATTTATTAGGAGAAATTTCTTCGATCATCCAAAATCTTTGTAACTGCTGGCTAATATCTACATTTAATTGACAAATAAAATTACTGCTTTTACAATGTTGAATACCTATTGGTCCACATACTAACCAACCTAAACTTGAATACTGCAAAGTGGGCTTACCCTTACCTAATCTTACCTGATTACCGTTCACGATGTCCCAATACAAATCAGCTCCAATCAAAATATCTATTTCGGCCGGTTCAAAAAATTGTGGATCCGCCAAATCTACCAAAACATACTTAGGAATATTTAAATTATCTGTTTTTACCTTTACATTTGGTAACATACTAGTTATGCGCGGAACTACCATACAATTAACTTCCATCGAAAACTTACTGTTTATCGAACTCATTACGAATTTACAACTGTCCATAATACATAACTGTATATTTCCAATACCCGATATTGTCATAGGCCGCTCGTTCTTTACACTACATAATCCCAACTTAACGCGTAGACTATCGGTCATCATAGTAATTTGACTCCCGCTGTCTAATAATGCGCGTACTACAAATACTTCATTACTACAATTGTTAATTACGCGAACGAGCGCCGTAGACAAAAGAATGTGTTGACTCGCTACCTGTGCGGACGCTGATAAGGACACCGGTTCTAATGCCGATGTGTCACCGCTATCGCCGGCGCATCGCGATTCCTGCGTTGATACAAATGATTGCAATCCGTTTACTGGATTATGCACCTTTGTCCTATGCAATAAGGTGTTATGTTTAAATTTACATATCTTACATAGCTTATACTTACAATTATTTGCAAAATGCCCATTACTTAAACAGTTAATACATAATTTATGTTTCGATACTAACTTATGACGATCATCTAAATTCATAGAAATAAAACTAGGACATTCGTATAAGCGATGTGATTGTTGACATAATATACAATTTTTATTACTATTAATCAGCGGTGTATGAGAAGATGTTACAAAATTAGAAATCTTTTCATTTTTTGAGTTCCTTGTGATTTTTACAGTTTCTAAAAAGTCTGCTCGGTTTCGTAAAAATGTCATAAATTCCTTTAATGTAGGTATTTCGCCCAGTGTACATTTATGTTCTTCCCAAAGTCTACTAGTTGAATAATCAAGTTTCATAGTAATCAAATGTATAATTAATGTATCCCAATAGTCAACAGGTTGATCTAAATTTCTTAATGCTTGTAAATTTTTTGAAACCTGGTCTTTAATAAAACGTAACGAAATATCAGACTCCTTATTAATAATTTCAATGCTAAACAAAGCC